AGCCCATGAGGTCGGATTAACACCCGAAACCTCGCTGCCGAACCGATGGCCCCACAATGCCGAGTTGGAAAGGGACATTAGGGAAGAAAAGGAATGTTGCAGATCCATCCACCTCCAGAGTGGGTTGCCATACGATCTACACACTCACTCCTACCCCTTTGCGTGCCTCTCCATGTCATTCGACAGACCTGCAACATTCGACAAGGCTAAGACCCAATGGGAAGCCTTGACAAAGTCGAAGTTCGATGGCATTAGGCATTGCTTTGGTCAGCTTGTCTATTACCGTAAAAAGGGCATTAATAAGCGCACTCTAGAACCCAACTTGGCACCTGCTTTGTTTTTGGGCTGGAGGGTTGACGCAGGCCTTCGGTATCGCCATGTGGTCAAGGTCCTAGATTATCAAGAATTTAGGACTCGTCGAGCGATTGTAGTGCATGATGTCCCGGAAGCAGAACTCTTCGTTGAAGAAGGTGAGCCTTGCTTCCCCGTTGCGGCAGCAGCCCACAAGGCGCTGCGGACGGGGGAAGCCGAGGGTGAGCTCCCAGAAGTCGCTCTTAAAGAGGTTCCGTTTAGCGAAGTAGCTGCACCGCCGACTCCCGCTCCAGGCACGCCGCGAGGCGTGTACATCACTGTGGATCGGATAATTCGGTTCCGTGAAACACCAGGTTGTCGAGGTTGTACTGGGCGCACCCGGTACCATACCCCCGAATGTCGACGCCGCTTCGCAAGGCTTGTCGATACAGAGAAAGCCGAGGAGCGCTCCAAGCGCTCGGCTGCCGTCGAGGTAGAGCGGTCACTTCGCCCCTCCGAAGCGATTGACCCAGTTCATGCAGCCAAGGAGGCACGTCTCGAAGAAGACGATGCCGACCTTAAAAAGGCACTTGAGCTTTCCCGCCTTGAAAAGGCAGATCTATCTGATCCCGATGAGCTCGAGAAAGCACTGAGGGCATCCGAAGAGCATGATGATGCTCTTCGCGGCAAGCCAGCTCCGTCTCGGCCAGGGGGGATTCCTCCAACCGCGCCGCCTGCAGCCACAACTGGCGCGGCGGTGACAACAACCACCGCAACCTCCACGTCACTCACGTGCCACGTAGCCGACTCCTTCACCAAGAGGGAGGCTCGGACTCTGCCTGTGTTCGGCATGCCATGTTCCAAGAGGGAGCCATGCAAAAAGTTTTCCGTAGGGAATAAGAGGGCCCGCAAGCGTATCGCGCGGGGAAATTCTATGCCTGTAATGTTCGAGTATGCATGTTCAAGTGACTCCACCATGGGAGCAGTGCATCAAGCATTGGGCATTCCCCACGTGAGACTGGCTAAAGAACACATCGATCTTGAAACCAACGAAGGGGATGAGCAACTGACCGCTCAGTTGCAGTCTTGTAGCAAGCCTAGGCAGCCATTCCGTGCACCTCCGGGTCGCCATGGCAAAGGCTAAATGTCCATAAGTATGGCAACAAATACAAGCAGTATCTCCGTGCACAGGTTAAAAGATCGGAGGCGTTGTTCGCAAGGTTCACAAAGCACGCCGAAGTAGTGATAGAACAAGAGGGTCACGTCACTTTCGAGTGGCCTCGCGACTGCGAGGGATGGGAGCGCCCCGACGTAAAGGCATTCTTCGGGAAGCATGCGTCTCGCTTCCACTCAGTGACTTTCCACGGGTGTGCAGTAGGTCTAACTGACAAGGAAGGGACTCCCATCAAGAAGCCGTGGCGTCTCATGACCACATCCAAGGAACTTCATGATGGGTTCCAGAATAGGACATGCCCCCACCAACACTCCTTCAAGCATGCACAGGCCGCAGGTAGCAACACTGCACGCACCGCCTTTTATCCACAAGAAATGTGTAAGATAATCGCTAGCGCGTTATATCCGCATGTCGCAACACCATGCGCGCCTGCAATGCCAGTCCAGGCTGTCATCGTGCAAGAGGAGCATCGGGAAAAGGAGCAGTCCTTGAAGCATATCTCCGCACTTTCAGGTGTTGGGGCTCTCGCGTCAGTGGTTGAATCAGATCCAACATCCCGCAGATTCTTTGAAGAACTTTTTTGACTTGGATAATCTCGTCAGGGAAATTCAGGGAATTCCAAAGCAGGAGACTTCTCCCGACATAGCCGCCATGGTCACAAAACTTCTTTCACGTTCAAGAAATGCTTGCCTCGTCCGAGGCATTGCAGGCCATAAAGGAAGAAGCAGACGGCTTAGGTAATGCAGGAGTCTGGGATCTCAGCACCGTGAGAGAGCAAGGAGAGGTCGCTGCTGAAGCGCGACGGACGCACACTAAAGTCCACTTCGGGCAACTGATGACTATCGCCTCCATCAAATTCTTTGAGCTAGCAAAGCATCTACAGAAAGTGAAGGGGCGTATAGTATACCGAGGGGACTGTGCGCGGGACGAATATGGGGCGGCGGCCGTTTATCAAGAACTCGGCGCCAACCCTACGTCCGTTCAGGGTTTGAACAACTGCCTTGCCTACGGCTCACTGCCAGGTCACAAAACCACGGCGGCAGACGCCGTAAAGGCATATATCCAGGCCCTACTTCGATCTCAACATCAGACGTGGATATCATTGCCGCCGGAACTTCGTCCGAAGTGGTGGAAAGAAAAGTTTATAAAACCGGTAGTCCTTCTAGTAAAAGCACTCTACGGTCACCCCGACGCGGGGGGGCTATGGGAGCAGCACTTCAAGAAGATCTTGAAGGAGCAGACCGGAGAGGAGATCCAAGAATTTCCAGGAAACTTTTACTTCCCCTCAACCGGCTTAATGCTATCCACTTATGTGGATGATCTAACACTTTCAGGGCCGGCAGAGCAGCATGATCCCTTTTGGGAAAAGCTGATGTCATGTGTTGATATTGAACCCCCAGAACCGATATATCGTGTTTTGGGAAGGAATCATGTCATCATTAACGCCCCGAAGTGCGAGCCTAATCCAGCCGAGAGCGCAGCCTTTGGCGCGCTGTCCAACGCAATGGCTTTTGATATGGTTGACTACGCCAAACAAACTGTAGATTTGTATGTCTCCATTTCAGGTCAGCCGATTAGTAAACTCCGCAAGGCATTGACCCCATTCTGTCCAGAAGGGTCATTGCCAACACAAGATGATGCCGAAGCAGGTGAATTGAGCTCAGCCGCTTGTAAAATCTTGATGAAGGCCTTGTGGTTGGGACGTCTTGCACGTCCAGACATAATCAAGCCCATCGGGGATCTTGCAACGTGCGTTCAAAAATGGTCGCGTAATAATGATAGGCAGTTGGCTAGGCTAATAGCTTACATTAACACGACCACAACGCACAGGTTGGTTGGCACAGTTCAAGACGATCCCAGAGAGCTGCATCTTGCGCTCTACGTCGACGCTGACTTTGCAGGAGAGGAAGGGGCTAAGTCTACGTCAGGGGGGTTTCTCGCCCTGAAAGGCCCGAACTCCCACTTTCCATTAGCATGGATTAGCAAGCGCCAGACTTCTGTGTCGCGTTCCACTACAGAAGCAGAAATTGTGTCGTTAGCATTTTGTTTGTATCAGGAGGGACTCCCAACACTTAGTCTGTGGGATCGCCTATTGGGTCGCCCAGTGCAATTTCTAGGACACATAGGGTTAACCTAGCATCCCTTGCAGAACAGTTACAGGAAGGCACTGGAGTAGAGCTTGAGTATGTGAAGACCGATTTCCAAGCAGCCGATATCTTTACCAAGGCTTTGCCCCCACATAAGTGGGATCACGCCTTGAGGCTCCTGGGGATGCGCACAGACCTCCCAGAAGAGCTAGAAGATACTCGATTCAACATCAAAAAGTAGAAAGTCATTCCGAAAGTAGTGCTGTGAGTACTAAGAGTGCCAAAATATCCTTCATCCTTGTAAAGCCTTGATGACCGGGAGCAGCGTATCGCGCTCCAAAGCAAAAGCTTACCCTGCCTTAGTGCACACGGCGAGGGGGGAGTCAAGAAATAACGACCCCTTAGCCCCCAAAGGCATGGTAACTTGCCTAGTTGTGTGGTCACTGATGTGAGGTTTGCATGAGGCCACTTTGGTTTAGGTTGAGGGTTGCATGTCATTACAGACTTGTCGAACGGCAAACGCCGTTTGGCTCAAGCGCTCACTGAAAAAGGGCGCTGAGTGCGGAACTAGAGTGTAGAGACAACCCCCTGAACCGCTGAGGGATTAACCACGGTCAATCCACCTCTTTTTGTTCAGGGCGCAGCCTTCGGCGCGCGTTTGGGGTTTCTTGCTCTTTTGATTTCTATTGTGTTTTCTATGTATCTATTGTTTTGTTTTTTCTTTGTCTTTCTTTGTTTCTTTCCTATCTAGCTATGCAGCTGCTTGCAAGCTATCTAGCTATCCAGCCTGCTATTTTGGCATTTATCCAGCTACCTAGTCTAATCTAATTTATTCTATTCTAATCTAATCTACATTCCTTCTTTCCTTATTTCTTTCTTTCTTTCTTTCTTTCTTTCTTTCTTTCTTTCTTTCTATATTTCTACATTTCTATGTTTTTAGTATTCCCATGTTTCTATCGATGTATCCATCTATCTATCCATCCATCCATCTATCTATCCATCCAATCCCATCAAATCCAATCCAATCTATCCAATCAAATCTATATGTGTTTGCATTCGTGTGCATGTTTCCCCATTCGCAACATCAGCTGGAAAGAATGTCTGAGCGACGTTGAGACGTGGAGGGCATTTCTCAGAACTTCAGTGTCGTGGTTTTGTTTTTGTGTTTTTTGTTTTTCCCCAAGGCTTCCTATGGGAGTTGTCTCACGACACCTAGAACTTCAGTAGCTTCAGCACTCCGCAGGCAGTGCGGCCATGTTTCTTTTGATAGCTTCCCATAGGCAAACCGCCAAAGGTAGTCATGTATAGCCGTTTTTCCAAAAATATCAATGGGTGACCCTCCCCCCCCCCCCCCCAAAAGGGTTGTTTTGTTTGTTTTTTTGCAAGCCAGCTCCAGAATAGCCTCAAGCGCACACATTTGGATCGGCTTCCCACGTGATCCCTCTCAGGAGATTCAAGAAAGACTCGGCCTGGAGCAAGAGGCCAATTCGTCCATTCGCGGGCCTCGCGACTGGGCGGTTGAAGTGACCGAAAAAGTTGTTTTTTCCTATCGGACCTGGTGTTTGACACACGATCTTTTCGGGATCAGGGAAACCGGCGGCGTCAAAAAGCCAGGCTTCCGAAGGTCCGAAACTGATGGGTTCTTTCGGGTCAAATTCTCAGACCTGTTGAGACAAAGTACTGTATTCAGCCGTGACGTTGGACATTTGATAAGAATCAGACGGGGGGCTGCGCAACGCACAAACCTGATGTGAACAGCAGGTCGTTTAGAACGTGTGGCACATGTCAATGTGGGTCTTTTTATTTTAAGGGTACCCCTTTTGGGTTGGTGTTAAGGGGAAAAGAAAAGCCGCATTTTTTTTCCGGCGTCCGCTGAAAAAGGATGAGCCACCCACATGTAGGATCGGCACCGCAGACATTGCCAACAAGAAAATAGATGAAAACCGGCTAAATTGCGTGTGGTGGTCATAGTCAGGCGCAAAGTTAGCGACGTGCCAACGAGGGGAGGGAGGTATGATAGTGCCCGGGGGGGGGGGGCAGGACGGCGCAACAATACATACTATATGCATTACTATGCAAGTAGACGATCACAGACTGTGGGCAACGGAGAGACAATGGAGTTCCAAATTTTGGGGCACAGAGAATTTGCCATGTGAGGGTTGGTGAAAAAACATCCAACAATCTCTGCAGTCTGCTTCATTGTTCGTTGAGGTTACCTCCAATTGGCTGTTCGGATTGGTGGTTTGGATTTGGATTGGAGCCCTTGGTGTAGAGGGTAAATGCGAAACCACCCCCTAGCCACAAAACCAGCGGGCGCCAAACCACCAAACATAGAGCGATGACTCTTTGGATTCAACTGTGGAGTTCCACTGGGACTCAGGTGTCGTTTTTTTCCAACAGTTGCCTTTTCTTGCTGGTGCTGACCCCGAAAGCAACCATCCACGTGGGTTCCTTTCTTCGGAGACCCCTGGGCCTGGCGTCCTTCCATGTCTCGTTCCCCAGCTAAAACGCCGCGCTCGCCACGATTTTTTGGGATGGACGGGTGCTTGCCAAGGTTTTCATGGTACCCGACGTTGGCTATGGTTCCACCAGACGTGCTTGGCTCGCGGCTCGCGAGCTCGCCAGGCGGGTCCCCAGGACCTGGATGCCTTCTTCGGCCGCCTGGCCTCCGTGCAGCGGGGCCCTAAGCCCCCGTATCGCGGGGGATTCTTTGGGGGGGTTAACCCGGCACCCCGGCGACGGGGAAAAGCGAATCCCAAAACAGCCAACCCCCACGTTGGGTCACTGATGGCGGAGTTGTTGTTATGTTTCCCCCATGTTTTTATCCGTTTTTCAGGCGTTGGGTATGTTTCCCCCCTTTTTCAGACTCCTTCGAGCTTTGGAAGGAATCATTCCATTGAAGGGTTTCTTGAACATCTCGCTGCGGAAACTAACATGTGCTGTCGTACCCCAACTTGCTGTCGTAGATGGATTTCAGTCAGATGTGCTCCTTTGCTCCTAGCCCGACTGGCCTGCGTATCAGTTGCAGCAATGAAATTGTAGCTTTGGTGCATTTTGCTTGGATGTTAGGACTTTAATTTTTTGCCAAGGAATGGGTTTTCCATTGAACCACTAAAAGTTAAACTTTGAGCAGGGGAGCAGAAAACAACCAAGGTAGGACCCTAAGAATCTTGACCTCATGTCAGATAGTGGCCGCTTGTCAGAGTCGAGGGTCCTGCTGATGCTGATGTTTGAGCCACCCCAGAACCCTACGCAGTCGACAGGGTGTGGCCTATGCATGCAGCTCACAACTTGCCGGCTGCTTGCCCAACCCAAAGAACACCCGACGAAGAGGTTGCAAATTGCACGGGTCTGTGTGTGTGCGTGTGTGTCGTGTTTAAGGATACCGCTTTTGGGGTTGGTTAAATAGGAAACCAAACGGAAGGTCCGTCTATTCGACACATACCCAAGTAGACTCCAAGTGTCCACCACACGTCTCCCGCCCAGGTGCTTGAACACACCAGTGGCCAGATCCTTAGCGGATCCTCTGGCTGTTTGGCCAGGCAGTGATCGCCTACAAGCGTGAGCTTGCGGGTGTGTGTGTGTGTGGGTTTAACGGGGCGCCCAAAGGAACCCCACCGTTTTTTGAGGGCTGCCCTATTTCGGCACACACACACACACAGATACATGGGCGAGAAGATGGTGTTCCGCTTAGTTTCATGTTCGAATCGACGGTGCCACTCTTGTGTTTGCAGAGTCGCAAGAACTCGCGTCGCTTTTTTCCTGCATGAGTTCGCCCCAAGAAAGTGCCCTTGGCTTTGGGGTTCCCCTTGCCATCCAGTTCCTTATGTTTTTAGTTGTTTTTAGTTGGTTTAGTGGTTGGCTTTCCTGATTTACCCTACAAATTCATCTTTTAGCAGGGTATGTGAGGACAGCCTGGTTCGGGCACACTGCCGGAATAGGCAGCAGCCTGACCAATTAATTGTTACCATCGTGCCCTCAGCAGAGCTACTGAGTTGTTGTTTGTGTTCAACTAACAGGGTTGTGCTTGTGGGACTCTCGTTGCGCATAAGATGAGAGCCGTAGCCCTTGTTCATCGTTGCTGCTTATTCCTGATCGATGTGTTGGAAGGGCGAACGCAGAAGATCATTGTTGATTCTTGATTGGACTCCATGCTTTGCTTTTTCATCATTGGATTTGTGTGTCTTTTCATATCAGTGACTGCTTTTGTTTATTCATAGAAGACTGCAGTGACGCTTGGGCGGAAACGTTTTATGTGTGGCGCAATAAATTAGGTGCAAACGAGGCAGGAACACCCCCAAAACCAGTTGGGGCCCAGCACATCTCGGTAGGTTGGGGGGCACATGCAAATCAGAGGGAAACCAATTTTGCTCTAGGCTCCCTAATTGTAAGGCAAAAGATAGGGACACCCATTTGTCAGCTAGACGTGTGCCGCGCTTCGGGCCTTTGGCCGATGGGTCGATCCGTCAGGTCGGGCGAGAGATGGCGGAGCTCGATTTGAGCCAGATCCTGGAGGCGTGTCAAGCAATCGGTGCGTGAGCCCGAAGAAAGGGGTGTGTCTTTTTGTTCGGGGGACTGCCCAAAATGGTGGTGTTCCTTTGGTTTCCCTTTAAAATGGTGGTTTTTCCTTAGGGGGACCCCCCCAACAAAAAGACGACAACAACAACAACAACCACAACGACGACAACAACAACAACAACAACAACAACAACAACAACAACAACAACAACAACAACAACAACAACAACAACAACAACAACAACAACAACAACAACAACAACAACAACAACAACAACAACAACAACAACAACAACAACAACAACAACAGCCAACAACAACAACAACAACAACAACAACAACAACAACAACAACAACAACAACAACAACAACAACAACAACAACAACAACAACAACAACACAACAACACTACAACAACAACAACAACAACAACAACAACAACAACAACAACAACAACAACAACCAACAGCAACAGACAACAACAACCAGCAACAACAACAACAACAACAACAACAACAACAACAACAACAACAACAACAACAACAACAACAACAACAAGCAGCACAACAGCACAAAGCAAGCAACAGCGCAACGCAGCACAGCACAACAAGCAAGCGGCCAGCAGCGCAGCAGCTATAACAACAACAACAACAACTACAACAACAACAACAACAACAACAACAACAACAACAACAACAACCACAACCAACAGCAACAGCAGCAGCAGCAAAACCACAAAAACAACAACAACAACAACAACAACAACAACAGCAACAACAACAACAACAACAACAACAACAACAACAACAACAACAACAACAACAACAACAGCAGCAGCAGCAGCAGCAGTAGCAGCAGCAGCAGCCACAACAACAACAACACCAACACCTCCAACAACTGCAACAACAACAACAAAACTGCAACAACAACAACAACAACTCGCAGCAGCAGCAGCAGCAGCAGCAGCAGCAGCAGCAGCAGCTCAACAGCAACATCAGCAGCAGCCAAGCAAGAGCTACACCAACAGCCAGCAGCACTCAGCAACAGCAGCACACAGAGCCAGCAGCAGCAGCAGCAGCAAACAGCAACAGCAACAGCAACAGCAACAGCAACAGCAACAGCAACAGCAACCGCAACAGCAACAGCAACAGCAACAGCAACAGCAACCAGCAACAGCAACAGCAGCACAGCAGCAACAGCAACAGCAACAGCAACAGCAACAGCAACAGCAACAGCAACAGCAACAGCACACAGCAACAGCAACAGCAAGCAGCACCAACAACAACAAGCAACAACAACAACAACAACAACAACAACAACAACAAGCAAGCAAGCAAGCAACAACAAGCAACAAGCAAGCAAGCACAGCAGCAGCAACAGCAACAGCAACAGCAACAGCAACAGCAACAGCAACAGCAACAGCAACAGCAACAGAGCAACAGCAACAGCAACAGCAACAGCCAGCAACAGCAACAACACCGCAGCACAGCAGCACAGCAACAGCAACAGCAACAGCAAACAGCAAACAGCAACAGCCAACAGCCAACAGCCAACAGCAACAGCCAACAGCACACAACAACAACAACAACAACAACAACAACAACAACAACAACAACAACAACAACAACACCAACCAAAAAACCAGCATCAAAACCAACAAAACAGGCGAGCAACAGACCACATGTGAAGGCGCAACAACAACAACAACAACCAGCAGCTCAGCAACAGCAACAGCAACAGCAACAGCAACAGCAACAGCAACAGCACAGCAACAGCAACAGCAACAGCAACAGCAACAGCAACAGCAACAGCAACAGCAACAGCAACAGCAACAGCAACAGCAACAGCAACAGCAACAGCAACAACAACAACAACAACAGCAGCAGCATGCACAGCAAGCAGCAAGCAGCAACAGCAACAGCAACAGCAACAAGCAACAGCAACCAACAACAACAACAACAACAACAACAACAACAACAACAACAACAACAACAACAACAACAACAACAACAACAACAACAACAACAAGTGGTCTTCCCGCTGGTCTCTCCTTAGGGGGAACCCTTGAACAAACAATGGCACACTTGAATGGCGATATGAGCTTTAAGAGTTGAGCCACCTCAAAACGGGGGAAGATGGACACCAGTTGCCTTTCTGAGTTTTGATGTCCACTGAAGGCTCCCCTAGTAGGACTCATGGCCAAATGGGAAAGTTGTAGCTTGAGACCTTCGCTGACTTCAGGCCATGGTTTGCGGTAAATTGGTTTTTGTCATGCTAGCGTGAAGGCATGATCTAGGAATATGGCTTTGAGGTTTGCTTGGTGTTGGGAAAAGGGTCAAACAAGGCGTTTGTTGCTGTAGCTGTTGACAAGGAATGCATGCCTGTCATTTGTGCTAAAGACATGAACAAAACAAATACCCTTGTTACTTCGACTAGCATGCCTGGATCCGCTGGGAAGCTGGTAGCCAGAGGAGGGGTCTTTGCCCTGGTTTGTTTCATCCAACTGGTAGTTTTTTTCGTTGGATCTCGAAGTTCATTCCCAAATACGCTGCCCTTGTGAACCATCCCACTGGTGTTTTTCCGTTGGATAAAAGCCAAAGTTCCTTCATCTGTTGTTTTTAGTTGTTTAGTTCATTCCATCTCTGTTTCGAACTTCATCCGGCTGGATCTCGAACCGATTCACTCCCAAAACCGCTGTTGCCCCCGAAGCCACGCGAGGGCATGAGCCTTTGGCCGCCCGAGCTGAGCCCGGCTGACCGGGATGAGGCGCGCGACTCGCGATGCAAGCACGCGAGGGGGGGGGCTTCTGGGTCCCGAAACCTTTTTGTTTGATAAACACTTGTTTAACAAGTAGACGCTAGCTACCTGCACCGTTCAGCGGTCAACTCATTTTCCGTAACCGCTGAAAGATTTGGGTTGATAGGCCTAGATTGGCTTGGCTTGGGGCAGCTTTCAGGGAGGGTTCCGGAGGGTTCCAAAAAGTTCCGGAGCTGTTGGGGATACCACTTGGGCATATGTTTGTTTGGTTTGCTCTACGCGCCCGCCTTGTGACGTGGACAGTTTGAGCCACCATCAAAACCCAGGTAGATCAAGGTTGGCAAGGGACAATCTCATATATATAAACAGAAAAAAAAAGAGCCTGGGTGGCTTCGACGTCCTTACATAGTTCTGGGTTGACTAAATACCAGGTTTTGATTGTGACACATGTTTTTGTTTGTTTTAGTCAGACAGGCTGCTAAGTCGCACTGCAAGACACGGAGTGAAAACACATACCCAACCAGAACTTTGCACACGATTCTATATCTGCACGTCAGATCACTTCTTTGAAGGTGGCTTATCACAGCGTTGGTTGCACCGCATTTCCCAGCGCAGGTCTTGGAAGTAAATGATTTCAATCACATTCTTTGGAGCTGCTGAAGCTTCATCAGACATTGCCACACACATCAGCTTGCAAACACATCAGCGGCTTGCTGTTTCAGATGTTTCAAGTGGGAGTGTGCTTCAGGAAAACGCCTCCACGCAAAAGGTGTCCATTCTCCAACAGGTTGCCTTAGACATGTAGATATGAAGTATGTCTCAAAATAGGGGAGCCAAAGGAAAGCCACAGATCCCCACCGGGTCCCTTAAACATGGAATTGGTGGGGGGGGGGGGATTTCGGGCCCTCGAGATCTCCATTCGTGGTAACCAATTTTCCCTTTTGTGGGGAAGACCGGATAAATGGAATTGGGTCCCGGACCCCCCTTCCCCCCGTCCCCTTCAAGGTAGGGGGGATAGCCACATATGATCCCCTGAAGTTAGGGGGATAGCCACATATTGATGATTGTTCTTTTCCGGCCATGTCCAGCTCACGTGGCTTTTGATCAGGTTCTTGCAGCCCTACAGGCGCGCATCCCGGATGCGAGAGACGGGCAGTGAGGAAAATAATTTCCTGAGGAACCCATTGGCGATTTGGCTTGACTGCTATTGGGTTGGATCTTTAGACTTTATTTGTTTCCCGGAGAATCAATCCTTTGAACCCACCACAAGTGAAACTTTTTGCAGGGGGTTAACAGTAGTAAAGTTGGATTTGTGATTTGAATTTTGTTTTGAACCCATGGCAGAGGGTCAATGGAGTTTCCAGTTCCCCGGAACTGGAGAAGTGGAAGCTGATTCAATGTTATGACTCATCCAGACCTGCCCGTTCTCACCACTTTTTTGGTTGGAAGGGTTCCCCTACTAAAATAGACTGCAGAAACAAAGGATACCCTTATTCTAACCTCTCTACTGGAGGACCTAGTAGAGGAACTTGGCCAGGCTGGCTAGGACCTAGTAGAGGAACTTCTTAAACATAGATAACCCCTGATTCGCACGGTCGGGATGCGGATTGGGCCGGTTTCTGTGATAACTCACTTGAAGGCTGGCCGGATCTCTCCTTTTGGCTTTCCGAACCGTCTTGACATGTCCATTCTTAATAATGCAAAAAGGTGAACCTTTGATTCTTAGCTGTCCTTTGGGCAACTGTGACAAAGAGAGAAGGATCCCTTTTCAGCAGCAAGTTTGCTTCCAATGATAGGGTTTATTCCTAGAAAAGTTTGTTGCCAGACGCAAAGGCGAGGAATTGTGGAGCCTAGGAGCCAATGGATGATTCAAGTCCTATGGGCCAAGTTCAAGTCCTTTCCCTTAACCCTTTGTTGGGGGGAGGGTTCCCCTACTAAATTAGACTACAGAAAAAGGGTATCCTTCCTAGTCACCATATGTTTTTGCATTTTCCCTGTTGGTTTTAAAGGACATCGATGACAACTGGACATGATATTTTTCCCGGGGGCGCATTCGCCAATGAGCGGCGTCATGCGGCGTCCAAAACCTCCGTGTACATGTTTATTAAGAGTCGTGTCGTATCGGCTTGCGCGCAAGCAAAAACTCCACGCGGGTAAGGTGGCGTAAGCTAGTGGCTTACGCAAAATGATACGACATAGGCGCAAATCATGACACGTGTAGGACGTCCACGGCTCAAATGGAAGCCCCAAAAACTCGTTGAAGCGGCGCGTTCTGGCCCAGAACCCGTAGAAACCCATTTGTTTTTCCAACTTCTCATCGCGATCGCTCGTGGACGCAACCAAAAACGCTTTTGCGCCAAATCATTTGTTTTTTCTGGCCTTTTTAGTTTTCTCCCAAAACCAGAGCCTGGCGATTCGACGTATGTGGCATGCGACCAAACCAGAAAAGCACGCCTCAAGTAAACCTTTATTTTTTAATGGAGCACGCCTCAAGTAAACCTTTATTTTTTAATGGACCCCCAAAACGGCCAAAACGTTTCTCCCTTGTCCTGTTTGCAGCCCCAAAGGAAACGAACCGCCGATACGTTACAGTACCCTGTGAGGCGCCGTCGGTGGCATCCACCAAGCAGATTCTGCTGGGGCAGCGCAGGGTCAGGAGACGGATCACTTCCATTTGCTTAAGAATATGTTTATTTTCCCCTCTTGGTTTTCATGGGACATCTATCACTATT